GTGTGCCTTGGCAGCCATCCATCTAACCCAGGCGTAGGCAATGATTTTAAACTTATGTGATAGGTGAAAACCAAATGTAGTGGGGGGGGGAAATAAGTCTTCCTCTAAACATAACATACAGTAAAGTAGAGTTTTGTTGTATGAGAATGCAATTTAAGATATCCAGCATTAACATGAAGAATAATGTGTGATAACACCAGAGAGTGACATCTCTCAGCACCTGCCCTGCAAATCAACACCCACTCAACACAACACATGAGATGGCATCCTGCGCCCACAGCTTTGAGATGCTAATGAGAGGAGAGTACAGTAAGTGACCATAGCAACCACTGGGCACTTCTTCACATCTGAACACATTGCTGTTTGATAGATCACCTGTCGGAAAAATGCTAACACACACAGCCATGCAAGACAAAATAGTGATTGATTGATTTCAATGGCTCATGAAGTTGAATTCTCACGCTAGCCCATTAAAGCTACTTTTGTAAAAAAAATCAGCATGCATGCAAATAATAAGTTGTACGGAGGAATACACGGATCGTTCATGTTTACCATTCATATCACAACACTTGCATACTACTAAAAGACTTCAGTGATGAGTGATAGCAGCATGCCAACATGCTATAAGCCCACCATTCGGCCATTGAAACAGCCAAGGCAGAGCAGGACACTGCTGCAGTCCCCACGGTGTGCAGACCCCCACATGGCTCAGACGCTCCCTCAACACTCCCACAATTCAGAGGCTTAAATCCAGTATTCCCCTGCCTCTGGACACACCTCACTGAGGAACAGAAAGGAAGAGGAGGAGGAGAGGAAAAGCCACAGCTAATAGCTCATCAAGTAAAAGAAGAAAGCAGCTACAAGAGAGGGAAAGGAGGAAGAGGAAAAGTCATCTTCTCCATAGCAGTCGAGGGAGTGGCAGACACTCGCTGCTCCGTGAAGCAGAGGAGACGGGAAGAGGACGAGTCTTGAGATTCCCCCGCAGAGTGAAGCAGGTCTGCTCTCAGGCACACACACATGGACCCAAAGGCGTACATGCACTCCACTCCTGCTGCCAAACTAAATCAACGGACCACACACCCGGACATGTGAAATCTTTTTATGTTGTCCATCTTTTTGTCTGGCATCCATCTCTGAGCTAGCAAGCATGACTGTGTGTTTGCATGTAAGAGATGGAGTGAGAGAGGGAGAGAAATGAACAGTGAGAGAGAGGAAGAGAGAGAGAGAGGGAAAGAGAGAGAGAGAGAGACATATTTATCTGCTTCATTTCAATCCACCTGACCCCCCCTTTATCTTTTCTCTTTTTCTACTAACTAATATTCCATTGTAAAGCTTGATCTGGGTCAATAGTGTTCAGACTGTGCCAACATGAAGAAGTGGTGGAAACACTATGAATAAATGCCTCCCGTATCACCCCTCTGAATCCGGCAGAATGGAACAGTCTTCTCGGTATGATCGAGTGTTTTATATGTCCCTCTTGATTTTAGTTGCTGTGAGTACAGGCGATAACAAAAATGAATTATTCATCAAGAGCTGCACTTAAGTCCCTACGCTTAGCACAACTTTTCCACCACCACCAACACAAACACACCCACGCATTAAAACACAAATGGACTTGAACAAAAACAGTTTTTCCCCTTGTACGATAACAGCTTAATTGTGCCGTTGCGAAATGGCTTGTATGAGGTATTCAAAAGCTGTAATCATGTTACAACAGTTTGACTCATATTCAAACACAATTATTGTAAGATATTCACATAATTGGTAGATAGAAAAGTAACCCTCAATAACTAGCTTTAGAAAGTGTTATAAAATATGTATTTGAAGTCACTTCCCAAAGCTCCACGACAGTATGCTGACATTAAGGTGAATGCTAGAGGCAGATATAGATTAGATTAAAAGGAAGAAGTAGGGCTGCTGGGAATGCAGCATTAATTAATCAATCGTATTTTAATCGCAATTACGATTATGGTTTGCAACGATTATGAAAACAATGTAATCGAAATAAAACGATTATTTTTTTATTATTATTACTTTTTTTTTTTTTTTTTTAAATACAATTTTTTTTTTATTGGTTTTTCAGCTGAATTATACTTAAAGTTCAGGGTAATCAACTGTTAAAAACATACTGTTCATAAAAATTCTCCAATAAATTGATGTTTTCAAAGTAAATGGATAATCGTTTTTAATCATCGTGATATCAATTATTGACCCAAATAATCGAGATTATGATTTTTGCCATAATCGAGCAGCCCTAGGAAGAAAAAGTGATTACAATTGAAAATATAATATTATGTAACAGATGTGACAAATTGGGCTCAGTGTGTGTTTGTATGTGTTCTACTTTTACAGTATTTGTGATAATTTAATTATTGTCAGTTCTATGAAAATGAAAACTACAAATATAATGTCATTTTCCGAACAAGATGTGATTATGTCGCAGTAAAAGAGACTATTCTACGGTAGGCTGAATGATTTCATGCCACAAATAAAACCAGAATGCAATGGGTGCAGGTCCCTCTCTCTCCAGCTGGGAGCAGTCACACTCACCTATAATAATGCTGCAGGTAGTGCTGCATTAAGGTCACTGAGGTTAATGTAGGTCACAACCCGAATACTCTCACACTGTCACTAATGGACCAGAGACCTGCAGTTACTCACACTCTATTGCCAGCACCCAGTCACACTTAAAACATCCACAGCTCCTTTTCTTTTTCCATGGGTGATACATTTACACTAGTACCTCAACTTTAGTTCTTTAATGCTGCCAACACAAGCAAGAACAACAACATGATTACATTAAGTATTTTAAATTCATACTGGTAATATAAATGTGTCTCCTATTCACATAAATGTTTTACAAAAAGACATGAAAACACACAAATAATTGAAATGTCCGAGTACAAACACAGCAATATTAATCGAGTGTAAGTACCAGAGGAGGGGGGAGTAAAAACTCGCAGACATTTCAATGATTTGTAAATAAGCAATGACTGCATGTATTATGTGCTCAACGCACTTTGTTTACGGTAACTTGGTGTCTTTGCTGAGTGAGCAGCTGCCTGGTATCTGATAACAGGGGAGACCCCCACCTCAACACCTCACTACAGATTCCTCACATTCCCAGGGTGAAGGGCTGTTTTGTGTGTGTGTGTTTGTGGGGGTGTGTGTGTCCGAATCCCTGTCCTGCCACACCCAGGTCTCCAAACAAAATAGATAACTCCCCGTCAGTTCTGAATAACAACCCGACCCAGAGTTGAACCTAAATACCGGCAAGCAATATTTCCGGTGGGTTAATAAGGCAAACCAACAAATTATACCGTTTTTATTGTAGCCTGAGGAACTGACAAAGTTTTGCATACAAACATTTTAGGGCTGTCAGTCGATTAAAAGTAGTTACCGTAATCGAAAATTAATCGCACATTTGTTATCTTTTCTAAATGTACCTTAGAGGAATATTTTTCAAGTTTTTAATACTCTTATCAACATATGAGTGGACAAATATGCTTTATGCAAATGTTTGTTTATTATCATTGGAACAATGAGAAATATTCTCCTGAATATCCTCAATACAACAACCTGGAACTCTCTCTCTCTCTCTCTCTCTCTCTCTCTCTCTCTCCCACCCTGTGTACTTATTTGCACTCAGCCAGTTGCTCAAACAGACAAGCCTGTTACAGTTGTCGGCGAAATGCCGCTCCTCTGTCTTCATAACAGTCAAAGCATGAGACTGAAGTTCCCACTGTGGGTCAAAATAATGCGCTGTGATGTGCAGTCGACACGTTGGATGCGATCCGAGTTATCTCTCACAGCCCCTCGTCCTCCACAATGTTAATTGTCCTGCAAGCTGTACCCACCGCCACCCATTTAGCTATCGCTGTGTGCTTGGCTTGCTGTTTGAAACACCTTTTTTTGTATCCATACCTCTCGCTAGAATCTGCCACCATCCAACTAACAACAACAACAACAACGTCAAGCCTTTGGGCTCTGAAACTACGGGGTGGGCCGAGGACAAATACATATGCGTTAATCGCACGTTAAAATAATTAGTGGCGTTAAAAAAAAAAAATGGCGTTAACTTGACAGCCCTAAAACATTTGTTTTATTTGTTGAAGCAAAGTGGACATTTGTTTAAATCCCTACAACACAACAGGGACTGGATTCAGGTAGCTGCATCTGTAGCATTAATATATCATGCATCTCAAAGAAAACTCCCTTAACTCTATCACAAGACGGACTGAATGACAGACCAACCAGGGTGTGAAGACGAGCCAGAGATACGCTCAGGAAACTCTGTGGAGAAAGAGGAACCTGCTCCACTCACCTTGTGCAGCTCTATGGACTCGATCCACTGCAGTCTGTGCTCGGGGTCCTCAGCCCGGAGGTACCACACATTGTCGTTCACGCTCATGTCAAAACGACACTCGTCAAACTCATGAGGCTGCAAAGAGAGAGGAGAGTAGTTAAATAGTTATTATTAAATCATCACATCAATGCGAACAATATCTTTTAATATTGTAAATCCTGCACGTGCCTTTGCACATTTCTGCTCTGCCTCTTTTTAAATCTACACAGCCCTCCACTTTGAATGTAGTATTTGTCATATTTTACTGTACTCACTTTCTCACATATTTATATTTTGTGTAAACATTTTCTTCATTTGTTTCAATAGTCTTATAATGTTCCTGTTTTTGCCTCGATTCTTCTTTCTGTGTCTTTGTATGCACCATTTATTCCAAAGCTAATTCCTCGTATGTGTAAGCCTACTTGGCAATACAACCGAGTCTGATTAGGCAGAGCACATGTGTCATGTGACCAACACCAGATACCTGTGTTTGAATAAAAACTCAAAGTATCTACTTCCTGTAGTTCAATCAAATCAAATCAGAGCAGAAATCCCACTTTGTGTGTCTGTGTTCGACACTGACTGAGTGCGAAGAGACATTCTGGACACACATGGATTCCATCACAGAAAGCCCCTGCCTCACAATAAACAGGCCTTTTAATGAGAAACTGATGTCTCATGTCGGCAGACGCAACCCTGAACGAACGAAGCAGAGCAGAGCAGGAAAACAGATATTCTTTCAGCACGTCTCCCCCCTGAACCTGGGTCATCATAACTTTTCCATTCCACTATTAGGGCCAAATCTTTCAACTATTTCCCTCCCCCGTTCTACAATGCACCCCACCCTGCCTTAGGCACCCAAAACACGTGGACTAAAGAATTCCCGTTTCCTATGAGATTGGAATGTGACCGCTGCACTCAACTGAGGAGAGATCTGTTCTGCAAAGGTTCCTTTTGATAAATTAGACAAAGTTCACTTGAATCATTCCCTTTTTCCCCTCCTTGGTAGGAGCCTGAGCCAGCTGCTCTGTCAGCTGACAAGAACCTCACGTCGCCCAAAATGTAATTAGATTTGCTGAATGATGCTCATGTGCTGGTTTATTTGCTTCTACCAACAACAGCAACTCCAACTCTGAACGGGGTTTGGATAACTTTGTCTTTAACACTAATATTACATTTCACAAGTTGCGTGTCTGGGATGTTGACAGGGGTGTGTGGTTTTCTCTGACCTTTTGATGCTTTCTATTACTAATCACATTTAACCTAAAGGCTCAAATGTTCCCTCAGGGACAGGTGTAACGTCAAAAATCCATGTCGTTTTCTAAGTTTCTCTACAAGGATGGGCAAGCAATGGTAAGCCCAAGTGCATCCAGCCGTGATGCCATTACTGGTCAGAGAAATGCAGTTTATCTTACTGTGCTGTATCGGACACGGCCCATAAACCTCTGCTTTACAGCCCGGTTTATACCTCTCTCATTGCGCCTGGGACAATCTCTTTACCATTGCGTAGGCACTCCTGAATATCCTTGCTGCACTGGCTCTTTTCTGCATTGCATCTTCAGTGTTGGGAAAGAGAAGGTTATCAGTCGAACCCTTCTAACCTTTTCCCAGGAGAGAAACCTAAGCTTTTTCTCAAATGAACTGCCTTTACACTAGTGTTTGTGCAAACACGTTTGAAATGTAATCCAAACAAAATGTAACACTATACATACAAATATATATGTTTGTTTATACGAGTTTGTCTGTACAAACATATATAACTGGAAGGAAAACACCAATGAACTGACAAGAGCTTGAACTGGTTTGAGCTTCTTGGCTGACAATAGGAATTTAGATTTGATTTTCCCTGTGACATTTCCAGCACATTTAGCTTCCCTGTGAAGACAATCTGGCGTGTCCACACACACACACACACACACACACACACACACACACACACACACACACACACACACACACACACACACACACACACACACACACACACACACACACACACACACACACACACACACACACACACACACACACACACACACACACACACACACACACACACACCGTGTAACAGACTGATATTAGGCAAAAAGAGAGGCAGAGGCTTGTTCCTGCATTCCTGAGTCCTCATACCACCGTCTCCGTAGACAGCACAGGCTTTATACCGGAGGAAGGGAGAGGCAGTGAGAAGTGACTGTGTGGGTCATACTACTCCAATAATAAGTGAGCATGTGTAATCAAACTGTGTAGACTCCTGGTTAGCCTACTATAACACAATTACAAAGCACACACATGCCTTGTTGAGCTCCATTCAGGTCTGCACATACACAGGAATTGGTATTTTACTCCCACTTACTGGAAAAGGAAACTAACTGTAAACTTTCAAGTTGTAGTTTTAATCCTGTTTTGAGTCGTATAATCCGGTTTCAGAGAAAAACTATTTGTTTGGCCTCTGTACACGGTGGCGGTATGCTCAGAGAGCCCAGTGAATATTTAACCACGGTGTGGTATTTAAACTTATCTCACCAACACAGGGGCCTCATTGGGAGAATACAGGTCTGATCTGTGCAGTCGTCAAAGCTTACATTTTAACCCATAAAAAACATTAGTTTGTGCCAAAACTGCCATGGAGGAAGACGTATGAGTGTGTTCTGAAATGACTGTTTGAGCAGGAATGCATTTCTTGGGTAAAATACAGGTCTCTAACCTATCTTTGTAATCTTAAAAACAGCCTCATTACTTGTTAATGTTTACCCTTTCTATCTTTCAGGAGGGTTGATTTAAGGAATTAAAGTTCAACTCTATCCATGCTAATGACAGGGAGCGTGAGGGTCAAACAATGAGACCTGCGGGAGAGGTAACCCTACTCCGAAAGCACTGGAGCAGAAAATCAGGCCTTTCATGGTTGCCCTGGTTATGAGCTCTTATTCCCTGGAAAGTCGGACAGGTGCTAAGATCATTCTGCTTTCTGTTGTTGCAGAGACAGCAGCAGTGTTGTTCCTTTCTCATACCGAGGTAAATACTTACGGCGATAAAAGCCTTGCTGAGGCACAGAGACCCCCTGCAGCCGTACTCCCGCTCGTCCTCTGACTTGTAGTAGCTCAGGGTGTTGTTCTTCAACACAACCCATCGGTCCTGCCATCCGTGTATGTAATTTGTCCACTGTAAACACACAAGAGGCACGACACAAACAGTTAGCTGAACCAACAGTCAACACATCCTTTATGCAGGATTCTAGAGACGGGAGAAGTACTCAGATCTTGTACTTGAGTAAAAGTAAAAGCACCAGAGTGTAGGAATACTCTGTTATAAATAAAAGTCCTGTATTCAAAATGTCAGTAAAAGTACAAAAGTATATGTATCAAAACATACTTAAAGTACCAACGTTTTAAGTACTTATTATGCAGATTGGCCCATTTCAGAATAATATATGATTTTTATTATAGTTATTGATGCATTAATGTGTTATCAAAGCGGGGGAAAGTGCAGCTAGTTTTAATGACTTTGTATATTGCAGGGTAGCTTGTGAATTTAACTCACAGTAATCACATCATTAATCCAATTGTGCAAAGTAACCAAAGACACTAAATATATTTAGTGGAGTAAAAGTAAAATTTGTACTTCTGAATTGTAGTGGGGTAGAAGTACAAAGTAGCAACACATTTGACTACTCAAGTAAAGTACAAGTCTCTCAAAACTGTATTTTAGTACAGTACTTGAGTAAATCTACTTAGTTACTTAACACCACTGCAGCTGAATTATACAATATAACATTTAAAGTGGTTCACCTTGCTTAAGACTCCTCCGACGTCCACATGCTGGGCGGCCTCCGGGTCCACATCCTCATCCGAACCGGACGATGAACTCTTTTCGGACATTTAAATCCAAGTTTTAAGGAAATCTGATGTATATCGACAGAACCGCGTAGCTGCTGGATGAGATCAAACTCGCTGCAACCAAAAACCTGCTGACAGTTTCTCTAACGAAGTAGCCTTAATTAAGCATTAACCGAGTGTATTAAACATGATCTGAAAAGCCTCATGTATCTTTATCGGTTTACAGACTTAGACTCAGTTTAGTCTCCAGCTTCTCTGCAGGTGACAGCTGACTCTCAACTTCTCCGTTTTGCGGGCTTTGTTTTGAAACTGACGTCAAATACTAAACAGACTAGCTAGTTAGCGTTAGCTGTCAAACGACGTTAACTTAACTAGCCACTTGTGACTCGTTAGCTATTTTAGCTGCGGTGGGTAATCTGCTGCAAAGAGTGATCGATGAAGGAGGCCTTCGTGTTCACGCTGTGCCTTAAACTTCAGGCTACAAACGATGGTGTGTGTCGCTGCTGTAGTTCCGCAGTTTGGTTAGCAGTAGCGGAGGAGGTTGTCTTCATTCGGGTCGGGGGGAGGAGCTGCAGCCACGCTTTACTGTGTACTGAAGAGAGCGGGGTGTTGAATACAATGGCATGATCACCGGAAGTCGCACACACTCCCCTTCAAGATAAAACTCTAACACGTTGCCAAGCCAAGTTTACTCATATTATAGCACCTTTTAACCAAGTGGTGTAAAGTAACCATAAGCACTAAGTCAAATGTTGAGGTCCTTGTACTTCACTTAAGTAATGTTGTTACTGCTTTGTACTTCTACTCCACTACAATTCAGAGGTTAATCATTTACTTTGACTCCATTACATTCATTTAGTTACTTTGCAGATTTTGAATAATAGTGTGAACAATTACATCTGGAATAACGTTCACAAGCTACAACGCACTATACAAAGTTGTTAAACATATAATATATATTATTCTGAAATGGGCCAATCTGTATAATGAGTACTTTAACTTTTTGTATTTTAAGTATATTTAGATGCCAATACTTTTGTACTTGTACTTGATTGAGTTGATTGCAGGACTTATACTTGTACACTCTGGTACTCCTACTTTTATTTAAGTACAACATCTGAGTACTTCCCAACCTCTGCTTTTATCCCAAGGCCATTCAAAGTGTTTTACAAAAATAATATTAAACATTAATAATAATGTGTTAATATTAATAATAATAAGAATAAGCTTTATCGGTACCACTTTACAATAAGACTACCCTTATAAAGGATTCATAAAGGGTTTATAATTAGGTTATGAATTAGGTTATAAACACTTTATTAATAATTAAGAACCATTTATAAACCAGTTCTAACATAGTTTTCATAAATCAACACAGGCTCACTATTTGGCAAGATGACTAAGCCTTATGTTGGTTACTTAGCGAGAATCAACTCAGTGAACAACAGACACTCAGGGCTCGACATTAAGGACTGCCCGATGGCCCGGGGCCATCTAGTATTTAGCTCGGGCAATGAAGCCTCACCTGCTGGTTGCCCGATCGGGCAATCTATTATGCCAATATCATGCAGCTCGCGGATCCAGTAATGAGTGACCCGACAGTAAAACTAAACATATCTTTAACTAGTTTAGGAAGTCTTCCTAAACTAGTTAAAGATATGTTTAGTTTTACTGTCGGGTCACTCATTACTGGATCCGCGAGCTGCATGATATTGGCATAATAGATTGCCCGATCGNGACCAGGTGCATGTTGCGAAAAATTATTGTTACAGTGGATGAAGGGGGTGGGGCTAGGGTGTCTAAAGTCAAATATGAATCTTGATTGGGCCAAATTTGACCTCGAGCCACCCAAAACAATTCTGATGGGTCTCCCCAGACCCGAACACCAAATGATACACTTTTTTTTTTAAGAGACCTTCAGACTTGGCAAAAATGGTCAAAATCTGTTTTGTAGTGTTTATATACTGTAGCTGCTGTGGAGGACATCATGAAGCCTTGTTCCAATAAAAAAAACTAAAGTGTAGTTATTATATCATTTGAACTAGAAACGGGTCACGGGAGACCCGAACACAACATAAGGGAAAGATAAAACGATTATTCTTATTTTATTATTACCTGGTGCATGTTGCAAAAAAGTATTGTTACAGTGGATGAAGGGGGAGGGGTGTCTAAAGTCAAAGATGAATCTTGATTGGGCCAAATTTGACCTCGAGCCACCCAAAACAATTCTGATGGGTCTCCCCAGACCCGAACACCAAATTATACACTTTATTTTTTAGAGACCTTCAGACTTGGCAAAAATGGTCAAAATCTGTTTTCTAGTGTTTATATAGCTGTTGTGGAGAATATCATGAAGCCTTGTTCCGATAAAAAAACTAGAGCGTAGTTATTATATAATTTTAACTTGAAACGGGTCACGGGAGACCCGAACACAACTTAAGGGTTAATGATCAGCCACCTGTTAAATCTGCCAAAGCATGAGTGTTGGTTGGCACTGACTTCTCTGCTACATTTTTTGTTTGAATTGTTCATTTTAACACTTGTTCAAACAGAGATGAGAGCTAGACAGGGAAATTGCTCCATCAAATGTAAAAAATAATAATATATGGGGAGGTTTTTAATTCTCAGGTTAACCAAACCAGTTGAATCGGAACATTTTCTTGGAACAAACTTGTGCCAATATCTTAACGCAATTATTTGTTTGTTTCTGTAGATTTTCCACCTCCCCAGGATGAGCCTGGCTCTGCTTCATTGGCTCATCTGCCAACATTTCCCATCCCTACTTCCCGGTCCAGCCCAGTCCCCTTTGACCGCCCAGACCCTTCCCACAGTGAAGCAGAGGATATGGTGAGACAGTTTCCAATGAAAACTCTTTGACAAACCGTAGTTCCTCTATGACGCTTTTCAATTCCTTATCAAATATCTAATTTGATCAGGGAATCCACTTTGAATTGTGATAATGTGCTTTTGTATGATCACCTATTTCTTTTTCTATAACTGATCGTTTTTGTTTGTTGTTACAAATTCTGGCATCGCACTGAACTGTACTCATGAGGATGCCACTAAAACAGAAATGTTCTTACAGTATTTTTTAAATAAATAGTGTTCCTGTTTTCCATTATTAATGTTTCTCAGAGGGGTTCTGGTGCCCCCACGTCCCGGGCAGAAATGATCCCTCCCACTACAGTAGTGCACAGCTCCCTGCCACTAGGGGGCGCTCCCAGTCCCCACAAACAGGTTAGCATTACACAAACGGATCTATTGACTCTGGTACAACTTGTTTAGGTAATGACAGTGTCAAACCTTTCACAGCTATGTGAAACTATGACGCTTCTTAAGTTTAGAGCAAGTCTTACTACAGTAATCACATTTATACATGACGCTATAATGTTTGTGTTTTTCAGGGGGGTGGTCGTGTCATCACAGCCAGTCAACAGAAACCCTTAAAAACGGTAACGGCTCGCATCACTGCGCGCTCTGACGTCTTAAAGGCCGCACGCAGCAACCTCCAGGTGATGGGTGTGGCTCCGCCCATGAGCTCTGTGATCGTTGAACGCCATCATCCTGTCACTCAGGTACGGGACAGTGTGCATCACCGCTGTAGTCCTTTGTTGTGTGTTCACCCAATGATGATCATTTCCTGTTGCTTCTCTTCCAGCTCACCATTGGTCAGGCCACAGCTGCTAAGTTCCCCCGTCCCTCCAAACAGGTCCAGAGCTCCTCTGCAGGCAGGAGCTCCTCCAGAACACACACCAACACGTGCCAAGTACACTCCATCAAAGTGGTTGACTAACCACACACATATCGCATGGAAAGTGTTCTTCACCTCGTGACATTTTAAATGGTTACACATCCTATGCAACAAACCTAGAAATAGTTGCCATGGCATACATTTGGTCTATTTTATTTTGGGGTGAATTTGACCTTGTTGTTAGCATTTTTTTTTTTTTTAGCTTCCTCTCATGAATGTGTTTCTTTAGCAATATAATTTTCTCTCAGGAAAGAGCCACACAGATACAGGTGTTTAGAAATGCACATGTTTTTATTAATACCAGCATGACGGATTTTTATAAAAACTTTTAAATTATGCACAGGTGAGACTGTACTGTAATGTTTTAAAATGCATGTTTTAAGTATTTATTTTATTGATGACTATTAAGACCGTCCAACACCACAGGTTGTTTTCTTTACTAAACCAAAGCCATATTTTGATGATCTAAATCAATTATTTTACTGCTAACTTCTTGTATCATTGAAAACTTTATTAAGACGACGTTGATGTCAGTCCATAGTTGCAGAGCTCATTCTTATGAAATGCTGCAGCTCTTACTACTGGAACTCTCTGCCTCCATCCGAATCCTATCTGGAAGACAAATGAACATTTTCTTAATACAAATTTTAGCACAAATCCCCAGGCCCGAGATTTTGCAGTAAACTGAATGGACCTGCAGCTTTCCTGTTCCCAATGAGGATTAGGCCCTGGTAGAGCTCTTTCGCAGGGCTCCTCTCAGCCAACTCCTCCCCGTGGAGCCAGATCAGCAGCATCCTGTTCCCATGCTCTTTATAGCTGTGCCGACCTGTGGACAAACACACAACACTGTAGAGCCAGGAAAACAACTTTGAATTTAAAGGTCCCCTATTATACTATTTTTCATCGATATATTATAGGTCTCAGATACAAACAAAACATGTCTCTGAAGTGTTTGGCTCGAAACACCAAACAGATTGCAGCATCCCATAATCCCCTCTGTTTCAGCCCTGTTTCAAAAGTGCTGATTCTGCGTGGTTCTCAATGTCGAGTGAAGCTGCTGCAGAGCCACTATTTCAAGTATACTATGTAAACGAGTGGTACTTTGGTTGGTGATTGGCTAATGGTTACACAAACCAAAAAATCGTTATGACATCATAAAGTGGCCAAAATCAGATTTTCAGATTTTATATAAATGGATCAGGACAAAAAGAGAGAGAATCTTTTTTCTCCTGAAACTTTCAGAATCTCTTTACACAGAGGGGACACATGTTGATGTAGAAAAGACATGAACAAGTGGATTTTGCATAATAGGTGACCTTTAAACAAAGTTAGGGAATGTGTCTGTGCATCGGAAAATAAAAGAACAAAATAATGATCTAATATGTTCATGATGATAATGATAGTCTTTACATTGCCAAAAATTCAGGGATTTTAATCTAGATTTCTTTGTTTTTTACACAAACTATACTAGTTCAGAGAATGCACAGTCAACAGCAAAGTGTGTCCAGTCGGTGTGAGTTATGGCACCTGTCCACTGCTCCTCGATGGCCGACACTTGCTCTTTAGTGAAGTCCCAGTTTTCAGCGAGTCTTTTCCAGTCTCCAGGTTTCAGGAGCTCGTACGCCAGGCGCCAGGCCATGGAGCGGAGCTGCTTGGTCTCAGAGCGGTGGTCCAGTTTAAACCTTAGCGGATACTCGCTGTGAATGCTCTCATTAAGTTCTGGGTTGGCCTGAAAGAGAAATTAAATTATGACAGCAGATTGATAAAGGCCAGAGAGCGCGTAGGTCATGGAAAGAGATTATTGGAAAGACACACACAATTAGCAATATGAATGCCAGAGTCAAACACTTTTTAAATCAAGAAGGGGAAGGAATCAGGCGTGACCTTAATTACATTGATGGTACATTTGCTGTCAAATGCTTCTGGATTGAGAGTCATTTGTCACTGTGGATGCTTTAATAGTATTAGAGGGGATTCAACCAATCTAGAATTTGACGTTAGGAAATCAATCATTTGTGATGAATGTAGTCATTGATTTCAAGGCCTCACCAATGGATAATGGCACACATGAAAACTGTCAAAAGTATGCATTTTTGTATGATTTCACCTTCCTCCAGGCGTAGTATCTTTCTGCTTTGATGATCATGTCAACGATTATCACCTCGTCTGCTCTGGCTGCCACACCCAGGGCCGTCTTGTTCTGCTACTCCCAATCCAACATGTACAACAACATGAACACACTTACAGTTTCAATGAAGCATGCATGCTGTTTTGCTTTGAATTATATCTTTGTGTGCCTTTTGGATGGCTCAACCATACGATTTTGTCCAAGATTAAGACCATATAAAAGTGTGCACATATACAAGAGTAACATAAATGGTAACTTAACTATGTTAGCTTTAGCAAAGTCTGTTTGTGAGAAGTCTTACCCTGTCCCTGAGTGTCGGATCCAGCCCTGATTTAAGAAGCATTTCCGCCACTTCTGTTCTGGCCAGCTCTGCAGCGAGATGCATGGCAGTCTGGGACCTCTGAAAGGACAGGACAATGCAGCACATATTTGTTTATTTTCATATACGACTGACATCTTATTTACTGTTACTAAAAAGATCATACCTTATCAGTAACATTGACGTTGCAACCAGACTTTAGTAGACAATGGATGACAGGGATATGACTGTTCTTCACTGCCAGGTGGAGAGGAGCCTCTAGGTTCTGAGAGCAAAAATATCCTATTATACAACATAAGCCCAAAAAATGAAATGTTAGCGTAGGAGAAACATATGTATAACTATAAAGGTGCATCCAGGCAGAATGTCAGCTGCACGGCGTGTGTGTGATCTGTGTTAACAAAAACTCAAGAGAGAGTGTACTGCTGCCACCTAGCTTGTGTTAGCTCACCTGGTTCTGGAAGTCTGTATGGGCTTTGTAATCTAAGAGGAGCTGGACTACAGATGTGTCTCCTTTTTCTGAAACTGGATGGAGAGCACTGCAATTGGCCTGAAAGAGAGAGAAGTTTAGCTGTATGCCTACCTACAAAACATAATCATTCGAGAGCAATGCATTATTGACCGCAGGGCACCAGGTCAGTGATTTGGTAAATGGACTGTACCTATATAGCGCTGTATCCCGTCTTTACGACCCCTCAGTCGCTTACATTACATTACATTACATTTAGCTGACGCTTTTATCCAAAGCAACTTACAATAAGTACATTCGACCAGGAAGATACAAACTTGAAGAAAACAGAATCATCAAGTACATCAGGTTTCATAGAGCCTAACATTTCAAGTGCTACTCAACTGGCTATAGATAAGCCAGTCCTTTATTAGTATATAAATGCTTAAATGTAATATTTGAGTTAGACTTAAACCTAATATTTAAGTTAGTATTTTTGCCAAGTGAAATTGCTTAGCAGCATTAGCAATGCAAAGTGAGAAAAGCGTAAATATAAAATATCTAAGCTAAAAATAGGGTGCAAATCCAAAATATATATACAATGCCAAATGTAGGTTAATTTAGTATGGATCATAAACACAGGATAAACTCAAATTGACGGTAGGGACCATAGGTTGGGTTGCATATAGATATGTATGTACATTACCAAATCTGAAGGGTAAGTGTATTTATTGTCAGTATAGTGGCTCGTTGTACCTTTGTAAGGATGTTGGGGTCGCAGCCAGCCTCCAATAGGAGCAGAGCACACTCTTCCTCACCGTGTTCTGCAGCCTGGTACAGAGCTGTCTCACTTTCCTGCCACATGCAAACCATGAATACATTTTTTTATAGGAGTGGTGCAATAACCATAACAGAATCCGAAAATTATTCTCAGGTGGAAAACAATTTTTAAATGATTATTATCACAACACTTAAACAACGTTTCAGACCAAATAGAAATCAGAATTCCAACGGCATTCGTACACTGAACAGGTAGACCATTCATATTCCAAAAATATTGAATATTGCTTTCTGCTAGTCTGCTATTAAAAAAGTATTCGTTAACAGGTAACGACTGTCATTTCAATTCAGTAAGTTTACCAAACAGAACTGGAGTTAAAGCCCTAACACAGTTTGCCTTTCTTATATTATAGCAGCCTGTACATGTTTGATACATCTTAATTAATCCTAAATGGAGCCACTGTCCAGCCGTGGATAAGCCAGTGAGCACACACTGTCACAAACGAAAACTGTGATAGAGAGAATGTTTACACTGATTGTCTACCATATTGACTTCATCCCGAGTATCAAAGCTCTGCAGCAGCGATTGGATGGCGGCCAGGTGGCCGTTCCTGGCAGCTAAGTGCAGGGGCGTGTCCCCGCGCTGCAGAAGGGAGGGAGGGAAACACCTGGCATCAAAGAGGGCTGAGCTTCATCGCAGGGGTGACACACAAATGTGCACTCAGACACGTGTTGGCATAAATAACCAACAACAGATAAACAAGTCAACACACACCTTGTTGGGCTCCATGGTTCCCATGTCATATCGCACCATCAGCATTTCCAACATTTCAACACACCCATGCTCTGCTGCCAATGCAAATGCCCGGTGACCTGACTGAAATACAATCATTGAGGTACAAACAACCACATGTACTGCAAGACCTTTGATATCACTCAGACAGTGAATTATGAAGTTGATTTAAATGAGTGAAGTAGATACCTGGTCTTCTTTGTCCAGTTCTTTCATCTGCAGGTCATTCATTATATACTCTATGATTTCAGTTTGGTTATTGATAGCAGCACAGTGCATGATGTTCAGTCCTTCCTGAGGTGGAACAATAAAGCCAGTGTTTTTATGAAGCAGCTTTGCAACTGGAACACAATGATATAACAGAAGTAACAAGAGCCTCTGGGTTCATGATAATAATGAAACAGGCATACCAATGTTAGGTTCAAAATCAAGCATAATACAATTGAGTTGACTCTTTATTTCGTTTTTTAAATAACTGATAAACCTTAAAACAAAAGTCTGGATTTTGTTACCTCGTTCTCAACTTTCTGCTCGGCCCCAGCCTGCACTAATAACTTCAAGATCTCCAAACTGCCAAACCAGGCAGCCAGATGAATGGGTGCCACTCCGTACTATAAGATGCAGAATAGGAAATGGTAAGTTGTGATATCTTCAAAATATTACATGAGCTATTGTTAGCAACCTCAGTTTTCAGATGCAGGTATTTCCTCCCACCTTGTCCTTTTGGTCCACCTTGACCCTCCGTTGCAGAAGAAGCTGCACAGCCTCCTTGTTTTTGCCAGCTACTGCATAATGAAGTGCAGTCCTATTATCCTGCAAACAACCTCATCAGTGTTTTACAAAAGACCAGCCTTTCAGTCTGTTTGTGTGATACTGAGATGCAGAGAGACTGTTTGTCTCATTACCCACCACATTCCTCGCATTGGCGTTCAGCCCTTTTGCTAGAGTCTTCATGGTCTCCACGTCATTTCTCTTGGCAGCTTCCATAAACTGCTTCTCTGCATCAAGCACTGCACAACACATATGGCGTTTTACATATATTATTTTATACAGAACTGCATGTACCGGGCCAAATGATGTGTGAGGAGCTTTCAATAACAGCAAGGAACAAACAGTAAGGTCAACTGAGATGAGCGAGTATCTGTTTCATGTGTTGTGGTAGAGAATGCCATAGCTTCAGCCTTGTGTAAATATGTTTTTTCTTGTGAAGAAATGGGGAATACAGTCCTTCCACCACAATGATTAACTAAGAATTAACTCCAGCTCAAACAACTTGAGTCCTGAACAAGAGTAAATTATTCTGTAAGACCACATTACATTTATTTATCTTCCACCTTGTTCTAGTTGTGTTGCACATACTCACACATCTCCTGGCTGTCAAAGCTGTTGTCTGTCTCTCCGTCCGAGTGCTTGTTCAGTATGAAGTCAGCAAAGGCGTCGACTGTCTCCTGTCTCATCCACTTTCGAGGGTCCAAATTTTCAGTCTTAAGGCGATGCTTCTGGATCTTCGCCTTCAAAGTCAAAGCTCTTCTATCCATTGTGAAGCTTTTTAAAATACCTCTATGTGGGACCAAGTGTGTAATGTGATGAACAGTCCGATATTTGAACTGAAGGCAAAAAAAAGAGCCTACAGAAGATGAGAAAAATCCTATTCGATCCCGTTTCGTGCCGTTCCCGTCTTGAAATAGTCCACAGCGAGTCTTGAAGTGGAAGCGTACTCCTTAAAGTTGGAGGGCTGGTCCCTGTTTACTTTACTCACACCCTTAAGTGAATGCTAATAGCAACAGAACATGTTTAACAGTCACACTCCACCTGTCTGACATGACTAGAATATGGCTAGAATATGGCATGACTACGGCTTCTTACCTTGAGTTATATATGTTATACAAAGTGTTTTTAACTTTAAGTTCTGAGAACACAGTGCACTGTTTACAAAAGATTAACATAAGGCTCTAATAGCAGTTTAACGTGTTTGTCAAGGGAAGTTTGACTAGCTTCACATGCACTGCAGAACGATGTGTCATATTCACACAACCTGAGGCAACACATTCTGCTGCTGCTGCCGGCCTCTGAGGACCCGGAGCGTGAGTTTCTCTTATTCGATTCAGGACTTAAATAACACTTGAGTTATACACTTTGATACAACTCAAAACAGCCTCATTTGGGGCCTTTCTTCAGTAGGCCAACCCTTATTTGGTTAGTCATATTAATGTTGAGTGTGTGGTAATTAAATGTACAAAAATACCAGTGACATTTCATCAGAAGAGTAGTTTATTTCAATAAACATGATAGAAGGATTCTCTTATCTTCATTTTTAAACATGTATGATCAATGTATGATCATTGGAAAATGAAATAAATACAATTGGAAATGAAAATATATGAATAAGATAATTTTCTGAATATAAATTAAAAACTAAGTGTCCCCTCAGCATGTAATAAATAGCTTCATGATCCACTTTGCAAACACATTACACTTATCTTCAGTGGTAACAAGAATAGACAATGAATTGTGAATATATATTTCTATTAATGTTCAAGACATAAAACAACATTTGTCTCTTGTCATCTTTACATTCTTGTCTAGTTATGGCTTATAAAAAGTAAATAAGGCAAATCAGTGCAAATGCTTAGCTTCATTGATCATTGTTCCATAGAATGTACAGTTCTCTTTTTAAAAACTGAATATGGCTTTGTGTTCAATGAAAACCTTCCCTGTGGAAAAGGCTTCTCATTTCCTGAAGAAAACGTGGACACCACGCATCACCTGAAGAACTTGTCGATGGTGTGAGGGCCGAGTCCTTTAGCCTTTTTAGAAGGAGGGGAAGACGGCGAGTCCCGTCTAAAAGTAATTTAGAAAACATCCATGGTTACTACTTTACCTCAAGTACATGGAATATGAAGAGAGTCAATATTTTCTACAGCAACAATGTAGTCTCACCTTTTGGTTTTGCCTTTATTTGCTTGTGTTGACAGGAGACGGGCTCGGTCTACGAAGAGAAACACATTAAAAAGATGACATCCAGTGGAGGCCCACTAAGGCACCTCTTCAGAGATATAAAGAGAGCAATTTCTGAGGCAGGCCTGTTTAAGAGGAAACCGGGGTGCAGTTCATTGTAGGGAATGAACAGGGGAGAAAGTGATTTAGCCATTTCCAAGACCAGAGCAAAGGAAGCCCTATGGGCTGAAATGAGATGTCTTTTCTCTGTAGGAATCGATACAATCGTGTCACTGTCAGTAAATAACAAGGTCACAGGCCAATGACACCCTGCCAAGAAGACATTCCTTTTGTTAGCTCCAAAGATGCATCACAGCCACATTTTACGGTATCTCCAGATTTCTGGATGTATAACACATGTAGTAATTTAGACAATAAAGCTGACTTTGACTTATAGGCGTTGCTAACAGGATCTCTCTGTCATCAGAAGAAATAGATACACTCCATACTGAAATAATAAATAAAATAATAAAAATAATAAAATGGCTTTAATTAATAATTTTCATGGAGACAATTTCAGAAATAAAAACTCTCTCTCTCTCTCTATAGAAATTGATCACCAGAATTTGCAGCTCCCTTTGACTTAACGGAGCTTAAAAGAAAATGTCAGATATTTGGTTCACCATCGACACTCCTGATGTGTTCAAGGCTGCAGCCAGCAGCTGTTTTCAGAAAATCTCTAAAATCCCACTGTGCACGACCTAAAACCGAGTGGAGCTAGAAGAGAGTGAGTCATCATACTCCAAACTAAAATACATGCTGTTATGCTGGATGTTAGCTATCAACTTACAAATGGTTAATGATGACAGATTATTTGCACAGTATGTGGTTCCTCTTTAGTGTGGTAGTGTGGAACAACCTCATTTAATACACACACTCACCTATGGCCTTGCTGCTTAAAGCTGAGGGTGGATTTATGGGAGATGATGTGTGCCCCCGAAGCTCGTGTAGGACCTCCTGGTTCAGGCAGAGGTCAACGTGGTGGTTAAAGACAGTGAGGTCATCACTATCCTGAGTCAGCTGACACACTGGGCAGATGAGGACGGGGCCGTTATCGTCACATGACTGAGGCTGTCCTGAGGTCAGCGTTTCGTTGTCATCACTGATCAACAAAACCGTTTGAAGAGAATCCAAGCTGTGTTCCTGAAGATCATCTCTGTTCGACTGCATCACTTCACATTCCTTGTGGTCACCCTCTAGGTCCAACTCTGACTCTGTGTCAGAAATTGTATATTGGTTTGGCTTTCTGGAGGCACCACTGAGACACTGGTCTATATGTTTGTTGAAAACATTCAAATCCGTGGTCTCCACTTGCTCGAAACACACGGGACAGGTGAGGCTCTCGGACACTGTAAGGCCACAGCCTGATGTGGAAGCCTCTGCGAGAGGGACCGGGTCTTTCTCCTGGAGATCTGAGGCTGTACTGTGTGCTTTTGTTGATGTTCCTACACCCTCTTCAGCATCAGTGCCTATGGAAGTAATCACAGAAGCATTTTCCCCATGTCCTTCCTCTTGAGTAATTGCATTTTCTTCCTGGAGTCGCAGTCTCTTGGCCTGAGCCCTTTGGAAGAAAGACTGTTTGGGTTCCTCACCGGTCTCTAAGCCCCTCCCCCAGGTTACTCCCTCTTGTCTCTGGCACTTCTGCGCCGAGGAAAGAGAATCAGGCGGCAGGAGGGAGGAGTGAGTTATGAGATGCTCTTTTTCAAGCTTTTGATGCATTCCTTGGGAAGAGTCTGCCTTGCCTTGCTGAAGAAAGCCAATGATGCTCCTCTGCAGCGGCTTCTTATCATCCGAACTGACAAAGCCGGAGATTCTCACACCTACGAGCACAAAAACTAATTATCGATCAAAATAACAACTGTGTTATTATTTCCACATGCAGTGTGTCATGGATCATTTAAATCTATTACAAGATGGTATCCATTGACATTCAAGTAATACATCTAATTACCCATGAGCCTCAAGCGGAGCGGCTGGGGTCCCTCATTGTCGATTTCTGTTTTCAGGAGGTCCTTAGCAGCAGCAAAGATCTCATCCACTGTAGACACACCGTGCGACAGAGTGAGGGCCCGGGATTTCACCTCAAAGTTGACATTCTTCAGCTTCAGTGTGACTGTTTTACCCTGCAGGGAAATACAAAATGAAAGTTAATTTAGGGGAAATAGTAAAGGTTGCTTCTGTGTGCCGTCTAGCAACCTCTTCATTAAAAGCCTAATCGATGATACTGTGTGTGAGTGTCATAAAAAGACAAGAGATGGAAATCTGTATAATCTGTCATAGCAGAGATTGATTTTGTCAGAATGCACTTTGTGAGTAACGCAGCAAAAAGCGCTTTCATAGTAATGTGATCATCTCCCAGGGAGGCATTTCCAAGGCTGATAGTAGCCCCCGCTGTCTCCTTAATGGCCCTCCATTTCCTGCAGCTATCAAGGCCACATCGGGGCCCCAGCAGGGGGGTGATGGCCGTGCCAAGCCATGCAGTCCTGTCTCTATCGATTTGAACAGGAGTGAACAGGTTGAGGTATGAGATTCTGTTGGGGTTGATTCCAGGGAGGACAAATATATACTTCTTTTTTTTTTTTTAAACCAAAAACAACCCTTTTATCTCAATCCATTTTTGTGATGTCCATTTCTGTTCAAATATGCTTTGTTCTACTTCTCTTTGCTCAGTCTGAGACAATCAAAACAGGTGATAAGCAACATGTCAGCAGTTTTCAAATAAAAGCTATGACCATGCAGTATAGCTCTGTGTGTGGTTGATATAACCTAAGAGAAGTAGACACAGCTTACTAATTCATAAGATAAATACAGAGGTTTGTTCATGTTCCAAAATAAAGAAAGCAACCCTGTCCACCACCTTTAGACCTTCTTTCTTCATGTCTCCTGCTAAGTCTTCACAGAGCTCTTTGCAGAAAGAAAACTGCTCCTCGACTTTACTCAGTTCCTTAAATGTCCTGTAAATAAGACGTGTGAGAAAAGAATGAAACAGAGAGGAAATGAGGAAGAGTTTAGAGAATGGACTCTTTAAAATGTCTGTTTTTATGTATGCTTCAATAAAACCCTACCTTTCTGTGCTCATGCTTTTTCTTTCTTCTTGCCTGTATAAAAGTAAAGACAGGTATTATCTCCTCTGAACTGGAACCCCCCTTTTGTGTTTTGTTTCACAGACAGTAAAGTACCTCTGTATATGTGTAGAGCCCAGACCCAGGGAAACCTCCAATAGATGATGCCAGGCCGTCTCCGAGAACAACATCGACAGCAACGCCATCTGCTGGCCCAGATGAGAACAGCTGCTGACGCCCAGAGCGTTCAGCATCTTCTCGCTCACCTTTCCTATGCCAGAGACCTGAAAGGAAGCACAAACAAATGTGTTACCATCATTAAAACGTTTTCTTTACACCAGTGTTTCCCTACTTGCAACACATCCTTTATCACTTTACTCGTCATGTGTCTGCCTTTTATAAAACAGAAACACATGATTACTTACTGACGTGTTTTTTCCAAAATGATTAACAAACTACAACCACAAAGCTCTGTGTTTATGTTTTGGTTTGAGCAATGTGTACCGTACTTTGCGAACTGGGAGGCGCTGGATGAAGTCCATGACTGCCTCTCTGGTGGAGGGGAGTCTGTATTGGCCGTTTGGCTTGTTCTTGTCACTGCACACCTTGGCAATCATCGTGTTTGGAGCAATTCCTAGAAGAGTGAATAGCATAATTGACTATTGAATGTGTAATTGAACAGCTGGTAAAACATGCACATCATTTTGATAATAATTCTGAACAAAATGGGCAGGATAGACGGTTATTATTGTTGTGGAGCAGTTTGTTATTGCAAAAAATGAATTGTACTTATTAACAGTAGAGTTTCTTGTTGTTTTAAAATCATACTGTTTTTTTTTATTTCGTTTTTATTCAGAAAGTAGCGGGAAAAACAAAGTTGACAGAAGTTAACTTGCATTTAGTATGTGCGATAAATCAAAAATGGTAGCAATAGAAAAGACACTCTGCAGACACAGAAGTGTTTTCTTAATCAGGTCAGTTGTTTTAAACTCACCTGCGCTGGCGGTCAGCGTGGTCTTCTGCTCTATTCTGAAGCGCATCTCTCTCACAGCTTCCTCAACAGATGTCCCAAACACCTCAAACGCACCACCAGAAGCACCGTCAGCTTCAGAGCCCGGGGAGCAGGTCGAGGAGCTCGGGCTGTCCTCAAACAGGACCGGAGAGAGGTCCCTCTGCTCTGGCTCCAGGGAAACATCCATCTGATCTTCACCTATAGGGAAAATAAACAACTTGATAATAATCTCTTGACTATTTAGGCGTATAAAACCTCATACTTTAACATAAATGTTTTCTGTCGTATTGTCAGGTCGACAGTACAGTTCACGTGCAAATGCAACACACCACACCATGTAATCATTCTACATCGCTGCATAATTAAGTCCTGCCTTTAGTGGTGCTGCTGGTGCGGAAGCGATGTGTTCGTGAGGATTCAGGCCAGCTCTGCCTCCGCTCCAGGTGCTCTGTGAAATCCAGATAGGCTTCATCCAGGCTCATCGGCTGGAACTGAGGGTCATAGTCTGCAAAAATCTCACGGATCTAACAGAAGAGACACAAATTCATGAGCACCTGTTTGTTTAAGCAGGAAGCCACAAAATGACTGCACAAAATGTATTATGATGCAACTTCTAGAAGCAGTTATCTCTTTGTGCGTGTATGATTAATCATCACTCTCACCTCTTCACTCACAGCTCTGTATTTGTCAAAGTTGATTGGAACAATAATTAAGTTGGGGCAGAGTTTCTTTGCAATGAAGCCAGGCATGGCGGCTCGGACCCCGAACTTCCTGGCATGGTAGTTCGATGTTGACTGAAAGAGAGAAGATGAGATCTGAATATAAAGCTTTACATTGGTCTTGGAGTCATTCATAAAACATTAGCCTTGGTTTAAAATCACTATTCATAGTATAACAGTATGCAGAGTGCAGTGATGTTATAGTGATATATAAAATAAGACTTTGAAGACTTATTCCTGTTGTTTGGGGAAAAGGGCTATCACTGCATAATCTTATACCGTGAGAAATAAGATCACTTAGCTATTTAAATACTGCAACACATTTTTTAAGCCATTTCTTTTTACTTTGGTTCAGAATCAGAATCAGAATACCTTTATTAGTCCCACAGAGGGGAAATTTGTAGCGTTACAGCAGGAAAGAGCCACAGACAGCTCAGTGTTGCATAATCTTACATGCGTTAAAAAAGTACTAAGTTATAATATAATAAACAAACAACACAACAATATGCGAAAAAAGTACTAAGTTATAATATAATAAACAATATGCTAAAAAAAGATAAAAAGTTACATAATTTTCAAAAATACAGATCATTATTGATAATGTGTGCTTTGTTTCTCTGTATTGAACATGTTAGCTACTTTTTTTTATTGCTTTCCTTTTATCTGCTATGTCACTTTTTCTGTAACGCTGTACATTTTCCCACTACTGAACTAAAGGGATAACAGAAAGTTGTACTTTGACCAGTGATGTAATACATATAGTTTTTCTATTACTTTTCTTGTATTTCTACCCTGTGTTATCAGGGCATAGCGTCCACTTTTTAATTCAATCATCTAATGAATAACCATTATAATCGTTTACATTTTCCGAGAACATATTCTAACCCACCAGCATGCTCATGGATCCTACAGCCATGGGCTTGTCCTTCAGCTCGGGACAGTCCCTCATCTCCACAGCAGCGTAGAAAGCATCCATATCCACATGTACAATCAGACGGCTGAGATCACGACTTCTCTCTAGCTCTGCAACCATCTGTTCAACCTATAAAGATAGCTTTGATGTAAAACACTTAAGTGGTGTGATATTTATTATGTAGCTTTGTCATTAACAGTTCTTTAAGTTTGTCTGGTTATTCGTATTTGAGTGACCAAATGCCAGATACATCCATAACATTTCTTACCTGAGCCTGTGCTTTCTTTAACTGTTCTTCTGTGATCTTGGCTTTTTGTAGCATCATTTTCTCAATGCGCTGGTTCACCTGCTGCTCTCTCTTCAACTCGTTCTCATAAAACCTTGACCCCTGCAGAGAAACGACAGATTCTGTAACACAGCTATAATGAAAAAACTATAAAAGCACATTTATTTTTACGACTGTGTGTCACTAAACTAGAGATATGGAGCTTTCATACACGGCTGGACACAGGTAGTACAACTGTACCTATATTTAATATGATTCACAGCTCACTAAAGAGCTTTGTCCTTTCTAACAAATTGTTTATCTTTGTTTTAAATGTATAGAACATTATATGCAGGTTTAGGGAGTAACAGATTACATGTAACAGGATTAGGTTATCAGGATACCAAAAAAAGGTAAATGTATTCCCTTAAAGATACATATAAAAAGAGGTCATCAAATTACTGTTACATTTCTAATAACTTGGGACTACAAGCAGGTAATCAATGTTAGTCAAACACTAAAAATAGTATATTATGTTTTTTGTAATAATATTTGATATTAAGGTAATCCAAAAGTAAGGGAAAGTAATCAGATGACATTACTTTTATATTTTGATACTAAGATTAGGTTACTGATTACATTTGTTTACAGGTAACTAGTAATTGTAACTGATTACATTTTTAAAGTAACCCTCCCAACCCTGATTATATGTATTTTTATATTGGGCCTACAGCAGAACAAGTCTAACTGAGTTGTCGGTGTTTACCTTTGACGACTCCATTATGATCTTGTTGATCCTGTCCCTGTCAAGACCCTCCATACCAGCCTTGTTGTCATTGAGAGCCATCCTGGAGAGGAAGCCCTCTCCTTTAGAGGATGCAACCCCCTTCTCCATCCTGATGAATGGATCCTTTGTAAGGAAACAAGTGTTTATTTTCAGCAGTGTAATCCCTAACAACTCGGTTCCAAAGTGAGTTGATAACCCTGAAGGATGTCGAATGTATCTCATTACATCATGTATGCCTTATAAAGCATTATCAGATAACAAACACATATTCATAAACGTACCTTTCACCTGTGAAGAGTATCAGACAGTCACACTGAATTATATTTAATCAGCTGTTCAACTTTCATCCCTGTGTGTTTTGAAAACTTACTTGACGCTTTTGGCGGCACTTCCGCGTACATGCGTCATCGCCGGAAAGGGCGGGGCTTATCCTGTTTACCTTTTAAAAAATAAAAGAGATCCTCACCAGAGCACTTTTGAGCTTTACGAGATCACCTTTTACCCCTTTCAAAGACTACGTGTAACATTGTCTATAGGTAATCTTTGAAAGATTAATCACAGAAACCCACAATTTGAAACATACATGAAACAAAAGCTATAAAATACGCTTAAATAATCTATAGCCTAGAGATGGTCAACATAACATTTTTATTAGAACATTACATTTATTTCATAAAGGTCTTTTTTAAATAAAACATGCCACTTACATCAGGAGTTTCTTGAAAGCTGCAGGTAATGACATTTGTAATTATTTTAGGATTTACATCAGAACGTTTCCTTTTAGAGTTTATGGCATGACATGATTTTACCTCATGAACCTTAGACTGGGCGTTTTCATTGTGTCCAAAGTACACGGAATACTAGAAAGTTGTCCTCAGAAGATAAAACACTACACCAATAACACTAATGCATAGTTTAAGGATTGTCAAAATAAAAATCTCTAACTTGCATCACAGAAAAGAGATCAATGTGGCTAAATGTGTCATCATAATGCGCTGATCATAAAGTATTGTTTTGCTTGATTACATTCCTTGATGTTTTACTTTTAGGGCTTTATTTGTGCAACATTGTGTGTGTGAGAAGTCTATTGTACATGCAACAATATGATAAGTACAAAATGTTTTGTATTCTTGCTCTATTTAACGCTAACTATGAATTTCCTTTGACTAATTTATGAGATGTCAATTCTCTACTGTGAAGCACTTTGGACTGCAATTCTTATACAAAGTGCTATACAAATAAAGCAGTACCACTTTACAATAAGACAACTATTATAAAGGGTTTACGAATAGTTTGTAATTCATTTATTAATTAGGTTGTGAACACTTAATAAATCATTAATACGTTTTTACAAGACATGAGATAAACAGGGCAACTGTGACCGGTTGCTTGCCAAATAGGGAGCCCACATTTATCTGTACTGCTAAGCCTTATATTGGCTACTTAGCTTACTTCGTGTTCCTCATCAGCCAGCAGCCTTGGTGTCCAGTGCACGACATTAAGGATTTTGGGAGATGGCCCTGTGGGCCATCTAAGCTAATTTACAGATGGCCCTGAGCCCAATAGAGATTGCCCTGAAAAATGCGCGCGGACGAAATGGAACGAAGGGTTTGGGGGGAAATGTAGATGTTTGCAGGTCTTAGATGCTGTCTGGTACATTCTCTAGACTGAATTATAAGATCATGAACCACCACAATATTATATTGTACAATTTCAATTTTATTCTTAATTTCACTTGTTTGTTTGTTCTTGTTTGTGTTTGCTCTCTTGCATGCCCTGCATAGCTATAAGAAATACTTAAGTTGTTGGTCAAGACACTTTCCATCTGATGAAGGCAAATGCCTTCCCAGTTCCCAGATGTAAAAAAGTAGAAAACATTACATTCAGTTGTAACTGCCAAAACAAACATTATTTACACTATTATGGCCCCTGTTAAAAATGTTTGTAATGTTATCTACTGTAAATTGGTCGAACGAATGCCTCCTCATCCGGAAGCTGACCGAGCAGACCCGAGCAGCAGTCGAGAGGAGCCGAGCGCATCCGCGAAGTACAC